CTGTATAAGACAATCACTTGAACAAACAGCCACCTGAATAAGACAGTCCATCTGAAACAACGGTCACCTGTATAAGACAATCACTTGAACAAACAGCCACCTGTATAAGACAATCTCTTGAACAAACGGCCACCTATATAAGACAATCACTTGAACAAACGGTCACCTGTATAAGACAATCACTTGAACAAACAGCCACCTGTATAAGACAACCTCTTGAACAAACGGCCACCTATATAAGACAATCACTTGAACAAACGGTCACCTGTATAAGACAATCACTTGAACAAACAGCCACCTATATTATTAAGACAATCACCTGAAGGAACGGTCTCTTCCCATTTCCCCTCTTGCCTATTCTTATTATAACGACACTGTAAGAAGTCCACCTGTTTAAGACAACCACTTTTCTCCTCATCAATGGGTGGTCGTCTTAGACAGATTCGAGTGTATTTGTTTTGCAGCGCCGCTGTTGACACAATTGTAGCACGTAAAGTGCAGGTATTTTGACGTAACATCATTTTTGTTTAAAACTCTTATACTTTTTAGAAAATAATTGCTTTGAATTTGAATTTCTTTGAATGGTTAAGAAATTATGTACATATTTATTTATATGTTGTTTTTAAACATGGAAGAGGGGGTTTAAGAGGCTACTCCTAACCCTACTACCACCTTCTCCCCCCCCCCCTATAAAACGCAACTGTAGACTAGATTTGGTGTTCCAAACACAAAATGGAGAACCTTTTGGTGTTTTTTTGTTGTTTCGTTTTGTTTTTAGGGGTTATTTTTTTACAACTTTTTTGTTGTTGTTGTTCATATCGATTTACTAAAACTCAGGTTCGACCACTTTCCCACCCCCCGTGTGTTTGGGGAAGGGGGGGGGGCAAATAATAGGCCCGTGGCATATGAGCAGGAGATGCAACTTCTCTTACTTGTTGACAAAGCACGTTTGCTCACCTATGTTCAAAAGAGCGTGTGCAACCTTTACGTCGCGTCGGGGTATCGTCCTCGTCCTCGCCCTCTCTGTATGTCCTGTTCCCTTTTTCCTTACTCTTCTTCTTACCAAAAGTGCAAAAGAACTCCGCCTTCCAAACGAGATACCGTAGCCTACCGTGTTTGTTTGGTATGACGTCATACTCTCGTTCTAAACGCGCCCTGTTTGAGGGTTTGAGAGTCACGCCGTCATAGACACTGGACGTGGATGTGCGTGTTTGTGTTTGTGTGTGTGTGTGTGTGTGTGTATGTGTGTGTTTGTGTGTGAATATGTGATTATACGTGTGTGTCTGTCTCACTGTGTGTGTATGTGTGAATGCCT